CATTATAACTGACGTTGTACAAAGTTTACATATTTTATGTTACTGTAGAAAAATTGTAAATAAATACCTGAATGAGCAGGAAAAATTAAGATTGATATTTCATTTACGAGCGGAATTATTATGACTCATTCTATTGATAAAATCCCATAGGGCAGTAGCTGAGCCAGCCTGGGAGTTCGCGGTTCTTAACCAGAGCCTTAAGGCTCTGATTGAGAACCACGAGTCTTCAGGCAGACTCGGCTATTACCCTATGGGATTCTATTACTACGTTGATTCAATTCTTTACAATGTCTCCAAAGTTACAAAAGTTATGTAAATTTTGTAGAACATCAGTTACGACAAAGGAAAATATTGTATATCGATGTTCATTCCATGTATATGCGATTTACCTAAATTTGTGAGACATAGGGATGTAGTACTATTTATTCTTTATAGATCGATATTGAATACGTACATTTTGAATCAAACTCCGTTTTGTAGATATTTTCAACAAAAACTAGTTTTATATGAGCATCCTCTAATATTGAGTGAAAATCCCGTATACTTACTGCTGAAAAGCCGGCGTTGTGGAGGGCATGAGGGAAACGGCCGGCGTAAATTACTCATCTGTCAGTCCACGACGGTTGGTGCGGTGATCGGAAACTCAATGAGGGGCGAGTAATAAATACGTGGCCAGTGGTCGGCTTAGACCAATTAGTTTTAACCGACCGCTATCCATTCCTCGACCACCTGAAAGCCGCCCGTTACCGCAAAAAGCGTGCTGATTAGGATATCATATAACAAAGGCTACAAGCTCGAGGGTAGCGACTGACCGAGTTTAGGACCTATCGAGAATTTCACACGATGGTTGCGAATTACTCGCTCTCATATTTTGCCGCATTTTGTCTACCAGCCTTAACAGTTCTGATCAAGGTGTTGTGTAAGGTATAAGGGGAAACAGATATCGTGAATTTATCAACTGTCATGTCCGAGGGTACTTGTGGTTAGGCCCACTTAACGAAAAGCGGACAAAAATCAATGGCCAGCGTTCGGCTGGCGCTAATTAATTCTAGCCAACCACTAGCCAATCATCGGCCACCTGAAAACCTAACTTCGCATGAAAATGCGTACCGGCTCAAATATCACCAAACTTCTCGAGACTTCATGCTGGAGAGTAGCAACTTTACGACTTGAGAAGTAAAAACTGATATTACGCAGTAGTCTGCGAGGCAAGCTGCGGAGTTCGGGCGGGCTTGACTACATGTCTTTAATAGTCTTTAAGTTTTTCAAGAGTTTACCGATTCAAGCATGAACTGATTAAATCGGTAACGAGTCTCAAATCAAGTCTTAGGTGAAAGGGACGTACATAATTGAAAGTAAATTAATATTCTATTTTAAATCAACCAATCTATCAAGAAACATCGCCGAGAACGGCTATGGCCAATCAGCAAAAATATAATCATTTAAGGTTAAACTTTATTTATGTGAACTTTTAATTAAAAGGATAACAGTTTCCTCTTCAGGTAGCTTCATAAAAAATAATTAAATTTAATTGGTCTCAGAGTGGCAGTGCATTTTAGGCGGTGGTCCAATGGAAGAAATTGTGGTAAATTTCTGATGGCTCATCAATGGTTAAAAAAGAGTGACGTTGACATGGCATAAAGATGACAAAGAAACAAAATCCCTGGTACGGCAAGAGCGAGTAGGGCTTCTGAAAGGATCAAACAACTTAGTTAGGTCGCAATCGCACGACAATATGACCTTTTTCTAAGGTTCTGATATTGCAGAACTGCGAACATTATGCAATTAACAAACCTGAGATTTTAATGCCCAGTGTGGATACTTTTCGGAATAAATAAATTAACTCGATGGTTAGAAGGAAATCAGTTAAAGGAGTAAGAAATTTGACTAGGAAATATGGAATGAACAGGAAGAGTTTCATCTGTGTGTGAAATCAGATGAACGACTTATAATTTGAATCACACAACCCGTAGCAGCAAAAGTTGAGAAGCCTGATTGGATGCACCACCTTTATTTCTGAATATAGCTTTGATATAAAATGTAATTTGATTTAAATGCAGTAGATGGAATATTATTTAATGAATTTGAATTGATACTTAGATAGTCTAGTCGGATCAGCCGAATTTCAATTTGATATATTGTATAACTTAATTCTAATTAATGTACGTGTTTTTATTCGAACTTACACATTGTAATCTTTTACATAAGTTCAACTTCACACATGAGTAAAATAAGCTTTGAGTTAATGCAACCAAAATGAACGAAATTTGTACGCAGAATTCACGCAAAATGATAAAGAAGCAGACTTATAGGTAGATTTATTGAGATGACTAATAACTGATGTATTTGGCGCTGATGGGGGTACTGATTCAAATATGGCACCGAAGAAAGTGCAGATGGGAGGCTGATGATGAGGCTGATGGGAGCGATCACAATCTGAAATGCTTAAAATGAATGCTACTGCGCTTGTGCGCCCCTGTGCTTAACCCTCTACCGCCGTAGTTCACTCTCCGGGAACATAACTTTAAAGTTAACCCTCTACCGCTGTATGTCACTCTCCGGGAACATAACTTTAAAGTTAACCCTCTACCGCCGTACGTGTCACTCTCAGGGAACATAACTTTAAAGTTAACCTTCTACCGCCGTATGTCACTCTCCGGGAACATAACTTTCAACTTAAATTATACGTAAACTATTGAGTGTAGCAACCTGAGGACGTTTGCACGCAACAGAGAACATTTTAAAGTTGTACGTGGCGGCAACCATCAGTGCAAGTCATTTTGCGCTCACTAGAACGTATCCTTTTTGGGATGTAGGCGCGTGACAATATTGCTCCGGTTACTCCATTTAGGCGATTGAGGGTTAAGGGTTAAATGACATTCACTAGACATTTTTTGAAGAATATCAAGGTTTTTAATTAATTACATGTTGAACATTTCAGGAGTGATAATTTGGAAACACACTTCATGATTCTAGCAACATAAATTCCAAATATTAATGGGCTGAGGCAGCATATAAAATTTTCTCAGTTGAAAGACTTTATTACGCATAAACATCATTTCGGCATGACAAATAACATACGTATATTGCGATTTATTTTGGTTCGTTTAAAAAACCAGGGGTATTTAAGACATTACCCTAACGAAATTTAGAAGCGGGTCCGACTCTGAAATAAGTAACGCCCAGGAAATAAGGAGCACGTAGATCAGCTTCTCTTTGTCCGCTTTTTGGTCCACTTTCCGACCCCAAGTCAGACAGCTACGAGATTCTGGTCCTTACTCTGGCGGCCACTGAGTCAGAGCTAGTCCCCGTGTCCGGAGAAGCTCCAGCCGAGCCTGAGAATGTGATAAAAATATAACTCAGTACTCACTGCAGTGAGTGCCAGAGAGCGCATTTTCTCGTCGACGAAAACGTGAAGTCACGGACGGACAGATGGATGGACATGGCTAGCGCAATAGTGCATTTTTTCATGAAAAATGCGTTAAAAATACCACTCAAATACTACCATTCGCCGCAATGAGAGGAAGGGAGGGGGCAATGAAATATTTCCGTACTTTCAATGCCTGTTCATCTCAACCTTCGCATTCATTCAAATAGATGGAATAAACCACCATTAAGGTATACCGTATTTAAAACTTTCATCTTACCGGTAAATTGTCGAGGCTTAGAACGCTCATATAGTATATTTTTGACATACAATTTCACTGCATAATTCTCGTAGACTGTAATATTGCAAATTGCGTTTCATTCTCTGAAGCATTACATTACGGACAACTTTAGGTTTGACTGCAACGTCTTGGCATAATCAGAGTGTTTATTTCTCCATATTCAGAGCTCAGGTTTATATTATTTCGCTGTTTGAGTTACTTCAATGAGAGTCTGTTTGCAATGAAGAATAGTATTGCATGATTGGCCGTGACAATCAAATTTAGACGGCCAGTGAATTTTTTCTATTGAAGGCTCCTCAGATTCCTCTTCATTTGCCTCAATTTCGGCCGAGAGGCGTTGTGCGTTGTGAGCCACCATAACCACACCGGCGGTATCTAATATATTTTTCTAAGCTGATATTTCTTCCATAAATTACGTTTTGATTTGACAAAAAATATAACTCAGTACTCGCTGCAGTGAGTGACAGAAAGCGCATTTTCTCGTCGACGAAAACTTGAGGTCACGGACGGACGGACGGACAGACGGACAGACAGACGGTCATGGCGAGCACAATAGTGCATTCTTTCCATAAATGAGAAAATGTGCTAAAAAGAACTAGAGTAGTCAATGTATTCGCTTGTTTTCTTGTATATGCTCACGGCAGGAAATAAGGTGGTATCCAATTTCCGTAACTACATTTGTAGTCATTTTTTTACGAAAACATTTTGCTCAATATAATTTGGACAAAAAAAGCGCACCCCAAATATCCATTACAGTGATAATCCATTAAATAGTTACAATGAAATTAAATTAAATGTTAATTAAATTAAAGATTTTCTTTCTATGTGAATGCATTGGAGTAAATAATAACATACAATAATAACCTACCAGCAACAAGTCACAACATTTCACCATTCATTAGCACGTCTGTTCAGCATGGCACTACGTACAACTTGATCCCGGCGTGTGAAATAAAGCAAATGAATAGATTAATTTTTCCTCTTTTTAGCGCATTTTCTCATGTCCGTCCGTCTGTCTGTCCGTCGCCATGTCCGTCCGTCTGTCTGTCCTTCCGTCCGTCTGTCTGTCCGTCCGTGACTTCACGTTTTCGTGGACGAGAAAATGTGCTCTCTGTCACTCACTGCAGTGAGTACTGAGTTATATTTTTTACTACATGCAGTAATATGACAGATTTGCAAAACATTCGCATTCAACTGTGACTGTTGAAACTGTGGAAATCGATAAAACTCAATTAAATTGCAATCCCACTTACAAACTGTGAAGTCTGTTATTGTTAATAAACATGTAACATAGTTTAATTTCCAGTTTCAATAACAGTTTTTATATTACAGACGAATTTCCAAAAAAATTCTAAACAGATATGAAAACACATCAGTGGATCTTCTCAGGAAGAATGCAGCTAATGGCGATGAAATATTCTCGCAAAGCTCTTCTGCTAGCCTTTACCGGGTGCCTCTTCCTAATAATTGTGACTCGTGCATTCACAAATAAAGAGACCGTTGATGATATTGAAAGTAAGCCCTCATTTAGTAGTTCTTTCAATATTTTCAAAATTTAGTTCCCACATTTATTAGTGCAAAATAAATGTTTGAAAATTCCACTTTTTTTGCGAACATAAATTTTTGAAAAAAGTATAAAACTTATTTATTAAGACTATTTACATGAAATTATGTTCCTGAATTTATATTTATCCGGAGATTTTAACCTACTTTTGACGCTGAACTCAGCTGAAGGTACCTTGAGACCAGCGATGGAGGACTTGTTCCTGCATCCTGACCTCGTGGGGAAGGACATGCACGACGAAGCCGTCATCAAGGCAGCCCAGGGAGCCCTCATCGCCCCCCCACATGATGTTCCTTACCATCTTGACAACCCCAGCCAGAGGTTCTTTTCCCAGCATGGCCAAGATATTTATTTGAAAGAAGTTTTCAAAGATACGGTAAGTGATCCCAGTACTAAAGTTGCGTTGCGTTCTGCGCGCTTGAGCAAATATAATTTAACTTGTTGTTGCCGAGCTGTTGCTAATGAAAATCAGAATATTTTTTATGATAAAAGTCAATATAAGACAGGGTGGCACAGTGATTAAAGTTCATAGTACCAGATTTGGCGCAGAGAGGTGCGGGTTCGATCCCAGCTCTGTGCGACAGTTTCTGGTCAAAACCGGCAAGGAGGCCGGGCGGTTAAGCCATGCAAAAATTGCAGAAGTGAGTTGCGAGTTCGAGCCCGCAACAAGCTGTGGATGTTCTGCGATGTTAAAAATCGGTGACAGGCCTTCGGCCTAATAAACGCTGAATCCGCTTTTTACATAATGTAATCAAAGCAGAGAGGAGGCTTCTTCTTCGAAGTAGGCGCCTTCACTGGGGAGACTTATTCGAACACGTTGCTTCTGGAACGGGAGCTCGGCTGGACGGGGGTTCTGATGGAGCCGACACCCAACAGCTACCGCGCCCTCAAGAGCAAGAACAGAAGAGCGCACATCATGCGGGCGTGCATCGCCCCTGACACTTTTCTTTCTCAGTGTGGGAAAAATAAATTCGAATGAAAACACACTCACCGATGCCGAGAAGACACAAAATTCTGTGAGAGTTCCGTGCTATCCCTTCTACAGCGTCCTGGCGGCGCTGGGCAACCCTGTGGTGGACTACATGTCCCTAGATGTCGAGGGCGTCGAAATGAATGTAACATTAAGTAAAAATTCTTTCATTCTGAAAACAAAGGTGCGATTATTGATGTGAATTTGTGATGATAGTAGTGACCATTACAATTTTTATATAAGAGTTTATTTGCGGCAGGTGCTGAGGAGCATCCCTTGGAATGACGTGAAGATCAGAGTTATCACCATCGAGATCATCTGGGCTTCTGAAGGTCCTGAAGGCATCAAAAAGTTCATGGAAGCCAGAGGCTTCGAGTTCATTAGTCAACTTGATTTCGACTATCTTTTCTTCAACAAAAAACTCAGTGATGGCTTGAACAGGGAATTCAAAGTGTGAAGGCTGCAGAAAGTTTGTTAGAATTAGAAACAGTCAACTCGCGTACTCGTGAATGCAAATCCTATACAGGGTGTCCCAAAAAAACGACACTCAACTTTGAATGGCTGTAACTCAAAAAGTAATAGAGTTAAAAATTTTTGAAAGGTCAGGATTTGTTCACTATGTTTTTCTGCATCTCTCCACCAAAAATCAGACAGATCGATATAGCTATAAGCGTTTGATAGAACTTTCAGTGACGTGTGCTAAAATCGTGCTTGCGCAAAGTTTTAGTAAGATCATTTGCATAATCATTACGTTGTCTTGACATGTTTTCTTTTTGCTGCCTTATTTTTTGTATCATTGGCGAGACAAAAACGTGGCAATCTTAGGTGAGAGACAATCATGACAATCTTTGGTGAGACACAATCCTGGCAATCTTTGGTGAGAGACAATCATGACAATCTTTGGTGAGAGACAATCATGACAATCTTTGGTGAGACACAATCATGGCAATCTTTGGTGAGAGACAATCATGACAATCTTTGGTGAGACTCAATCATGGCAATCTTTGGTGAAAGGTAATCTTTGGTGAGAGGCAATTTTGGTGAGAAGCAATCTTTGGTGAGAGGCAATCTTTGGTTTTGGAATTCCCTCTCACCAAAGACTGCCATGATTGTCTCTCACCAAAGATTGCCATGATTGGTTCTCACAAATGATACTGTAAGTTTATTGCACGTTTTAATAGTTAGACCGTTCCAAATTTACATTGAATTCAATAAGATTTTAATCCTTAATTCCGTTTTGTTCTTTCTTACGATTGCCGTCGAGATGACGGCAACCCTAACCTAAACTAACCTAACCTAAACAAAAACGTACTTTTACCTCACCAACTTTCAGAATATCTGCGGCGTTGCAGAAGAGGGAGGTGCTCGTAAGCCACATACAGGCCGCACTACAAGGTGCGCGTGATTGGGACGGAGGAAGAAAGTTGCGGTTTGATGCTGCTGCATCTCTTTCGGGTGTCGGTTCATTATCTCTTAGTTCTACCGTCTCTACTGCTGGTGTAATTTTTTGTACATCACCTGCTGGATCCACCGGTGGTCCACGTAGTTCTGCCTTCAAACCATCCAGCGTTTCCATTGCCGATATTGAGGGAGCTGGCGCTGCAGCCATAACTTACGATGAAGTCGAACTGCCTTAGTCCATATGCAAGTAACTCTAAAATTTTTGATTTGTTAAATGATTCCAGTGACAGCTAGGCAATGTCTCGTTCTTTAAGGGTGTGATTATGATTACCTGTTCTGCAGTTACGTTATATCATGGTAGCAAAATCGGTGGGATCTGCTTGTAGCCAATAAATCTAGCGTCTCTCCTTGATTAACGCTTAGCATTTGATCCGAAATTAATGTCGTGCCAGATTGAGTCACCTCATTGGCTGAGGTAGACTAAATTGAACCTAGGTATAAATTGAAATGAATTCTCTTTACGGTGCACTACTTCTTCAACTGTCGGCAATAAAGTAGTAACAAATTCACTGTCGTTTAATTAACACGGTAATTTTAATCAACGGGTGCCTTTGATAGAATCGCAAGATATTTCAATTGAATATATGAAAAATCGACAGATGTTATTACTTTAATGTGGAGAGTGCCAAGTATACAATACGTATAATTTTTCATCTTGGAAATATTTTTTGTAAACGGTTGAAAATCATTCTTGACTCGTGACGATTGTGCGCGTAAGTAATTTATTGGATTCCGTATAGATACATGATTATTCGTCATCGATTATACCAGATTCTACGTAGATTACTGGAAAATTCAGCTTTTATTAAAGCAGATTTGGAATCGATCACTGAAAAATCGGCATCGATTGCTGCGCAATAGGCATCGACTACTGTTGATTCGACATTGTTCGATGCTCAATAAATTATCGTGTGCAGAAACTTCGCTATTCTCCACTGAATCAAGAAAGAAAGCACCTCTTCAATCGGTGTTCCGTTGCCCATTCCTCTCCGTTGCTTGCCCACTCTTCTCCGTTGCCCACTCCAAATGGAGTTTTACCCATGCCGATCGAGTGAGAATCCTCATTAATATTCTTAAATCAAACCACATCAATCTTCGTCGATCGATGTAGACCTGTTTGACTGGGAGGCGCTGTTGGCATTGTGTCAATGGGATCACCATCATATACCGTCACTAAGGTAACGTTTTCGGTAAGACCAGTACTGTGGGCTGACGAGGAATATTCATCGCCGCTGCCTTTTTCCGCAACTCAGAGAAAAAGCAGGATTCTACTCTCACATGGACTAGATAATTATTCTTCGTTCGATTCAGGCGTAGAGGATACTCATCAAGCACCGCAACAGCGGCCAATCTTCCTTTATTTCGTCGGAACTCGTTAGAGGTGGTACGCGTACTGCTAGCCTCCACTCTCGGTTAAGCCATAGCTTATGATATGCGTAGTGTCAGTGATACTATGCGTCAGTATTGAATGTAAATTAACTCATGGATAGATTATTGTTATGTTGTTGCTATTATTAACCGGTGCACCAGGTTCTCTAATCTGTTCAAAGCTGATTTATCTTTGTTCCTCACTTCATGCTTGCCATTCGAATGAGAATCCATTACAGATTGGTAATTGTTAACTCCTAATGCTTCTTGCTACAGATCTCCCTGACAGACCACCAGGGGACTACTCGAACACGAGTAACACGTACTACCTCTTCATCCTCCTACATGCGCTATTAGCTCCTTAATTCAGTCTTTTTTTTACTTGCAGCCCGGTGAACCTTCCCTGTCAAAATTAGAAACAGGCCAGGAGCCGGGCCAGCGCCGATCCAAGAGTATGATGACTGCTGATGAGCAGGAATGACCGCTTATTAAGGTTGTAGTCAGAGTGCAGCGAAGTCTGAGGGCAAGGTATTCGCGACCGTCGTGTGAAATCCTAGATCTGCCCGAAGCTCGGCCATAAGGTGGCGCCGCAGCGGGGCCTATGACCTCTACCTCCGGAACGCTTACCAAGAGTATAGTACAGAGGACGGAGCTGTAGAGTACTAAGGATAGCAGTATATATTACTAGGAACAGCTGTGTTCAGAATATGTAGCAGCAGTATGCGGTACTGAGAGCAGCCGGTTGCAGTACTGGAAGCAGCAATGTAGAGTACATGAGAAGAGCCGTGTACAGCTAAGAGTGGCGAACCATCTTAATAGAGAGACATACCTGAATATATCTTACGGAACGTAAATCTTTGTAACTTTATGAAACTGCGATGGATTAATTGGGACTTTGCGGTGATCGAGAACAACGGGAAAGGTCACGGTTATTTTTATTCTCACTCAATTTTAGCATTGGTCATTAATACATTAATATATGCTGTCACGCACTAATCATTGAGATGAGGTCATTCAAAGGCAATAAAGCAAAAAGTTGATAGTTCTTCGAGCAGTTCACTCCCAGACTTAGATCTATGGTGAGTGAAGACAAGCGGTGGAGCCTATAATCGAGAGGTCCAGGCCTCAGGAAAAAAGACGACGACTACATAGGAACCGATATTGTCATGGGAATAGCTGCATTTCTCAATCTTCATGTAATGTAAATTAAAAATGAATATCTAAACATAAAACTTTGCAAGCGTAACACATATATATGCGTGTTAAGCGAAAACAAAACTGGTCTTGATTTAGGATACTCGTTCAACTGAACAATCCCAACCTAAATGTGTCACAGAGGAAGAGTGACACTCTCCAACCACCAAGCCACCTGTCGCACGGCTATCACCTGCGAATAACACTGGACTATCGCAGGATGACCAGTGTCATCCGCATCCACTATAAATAACGCAACATGGAAATTGCGCAGATTGTACGAATTTTCGTTCTTCTAAGTATCGTGACACTGCCGTTTGTGGTCGAAATAATTCTCCAAGTCTGCTCGTTGGTTGGTCTTGTTGTTGTAGTTGAGAGCCTCACAGAGCCTGCACAGCTGGCGCGTCGGCGCCCCCGAGTAGCCATGCTCGTTGAATACGCGGTACCGTTTCCTCCAATCGTGGTACTTGTTATACTCTGCAGGATGGTCTAGGAGGTACCTGAAATTAACATTAAACATATCACAATAATTTAATCTGATAAAAGACAATCAGAAGATATGCCCTATGAATAATTAACTCAGACCAAACAAATTAGGGAGTTCAATCATGAGACTGAAAGGAGTGGCTTATCCGATTGTTGTTGTAACACTGACGGATGAGCTGGTTTCCAAAAATGTTCTATGAGCCATGCCGTTTTTTTTGTACCATTTTCTTTGCTTTAAATTTCTTGTGAATGTTTAATTCAAGCATTTAAATGATCTGAGTACACAAATAAACATCATACGAGTTTTAGAGATAAAGAGAAGATAAGACGGATCGATTTTAGATTATACGGAGTGATGTAAAGAGATCTACCGCATTTCTCGGTCACTGCGAGTGGTGTTAAGAGGCAGAGATCAGTGTTAAGTCTCATTTTGTCGCTTAGCCTCTATCGTTTTCAGAACGTGAAATCGGTGAACAGCGTGCCTTTTTCCTCCAAGCTTATCATGAGAATAATCGTTCAGTGATAACGACATAAGGAGCTAAACGCAAACGTTTCATGCTTCGTCGAAATATTTTTATGCTATAGAATGTAAGAAAATTAACAGTAAGAGAATCCATTCGTAAGCATGCTAGCTATGGCGCTATGGACATCAGGACGGAGTTTGAAAATTATTGTGCATGCCGATTTTAAACGGCCTTCTTACAACTTAACGTTGGTTCAAAAATTTAGAGTGAAAGCCATGCAAATCGTAAAGTCATAAATCCTGAAATTATTTGACAAGTTCGATCCCGCTGCAGTAGGCATTCTGAGTAGTGATGGGGATCACTTTCATGTCAGTGGAGCCTCGGTCACATTCAGTGTTTAATCCGTCCTCCGCGTTTGATCTTTCCACGTGAAGACGTGGGGTGGCCTACACGCTCACGAAATTTACCCATTTCCCTGAAGGGATGATTTTAAATATCGCTCTCGATCTCTCAAGGATTTGATGGAAAGGATTAAAAAGGAATTCAGCGGGAGATGACACTAAGTAGAGAATGTGTTGCCAACTACGGCCGCCATTTGCATAATTTGGTTCATAACTTATTGTAACGAAACCAATTCTTTTATACTTTTCCAATATATGTGCATTATCTTTGGATAAATTAAATTATTTTACATATATAAAATTTGGGAGATCGTTATGTTTCAGAAAGTAAAGAAGGTGCGACCATGTAACAGCTTACTTTAATCACATTGTGCATGATTGATTCACGTTTTATTGTATGTAAGTAAATGTTTACTATTTCACGGCTGAAGAAATTTATGTTATATTCATACAATTGTACTAAAAAATATATAATTTTGTATATTGAAAGACTTTACGAATGCCGCCAGATTGAAAGCCCCTGAAGAAAATTTTAAAAGCATTAGCAAATACATTAAACTTACTTGATATATTGCGTCAGTTCTTCAGGGCCCTTGAAGTCATCGATGTGAATAAAAGAGTTCGGGGGCAGGAGCTTCTGATAACTGTGCTTAGGCGCCCCCATCACCACAGGTACAGCAGATTTGTTCAATGCGTTCCACCAGGCCTGCCATTTAAATGAATGCGACTGTATTCATTAAATCAATAAAAAAAGAAGTTTGACTCCAAAGTCAGATAAGATTTGTGGGCGTGAACGAATTGATGACATGAACTGCCCAGCCGGAATTCTGGTTAAATTTTGGGTCGACCCACAGTTTATTGACTCGCCTCTGAGGTGAATCTGGCGTTAATGTAATGTTAATGTATGTTATGTTACTTTGTCTGTCAAGGTGTTGAAGAAATTCCTTTTCACAAATGAATTAAGACAGTTTCAGTAGCACGCAATAAGCATGACTCATGCGATCGGCACGAGCGTCATGGCTGGCTTTCTTTCCAAGTACCTCACAAGTCACAACTGTTCGAAGAAATTTTATTCGTTGATCCAAAAGACATCGATGACAAAACTTAGTCCGTGTTTTACGGTTATTACTTCACCTAGATTCTTTCTTGTGTTTGGTGCACAAAATTTGTTGCTAGACACGTAATATGTTCAACTGGGGTAGGTAATGCTAGACTGCTATAGTGGCATTGCTCATTTCCAACAACGCACGAAAATTCGGTAATCCACCTTACGGTTAGGAACTCAGACTACCTTCTCATATCTTTGCGTTTTCGAGCATAGTAAATTTATTATTGTCAACTGGAAACTCGTGTGAGAGTGACATTACCTTCCGTATGAAGCAACTGGCTATTATTGAGACTAATCGATTTTCTCCAGAGGCAACTCGAATTCGAAAATTAAATGACGCAGACCGCGGTAGACGTCAGTTAAAGTTATAGTCTTTAGTTAAATTATTGAGTTGAATTAATGAAGAAAGCAGCGCGATTCATGTACACCAATTTTTCTGGGATTTTACGATGTAGGGATCTTAGCTTAATATTCAGGAGTACTTCGGGAAACAGAGGGAGAATAAGAACATTAGTAACCAATGTGTGGAACGTAGGATAAGTTAAGGTGTTGACCATCTTGTAGCAGCGTACGAATTCAGAGCAGACTTGTTGTGGGACAAACGCTGTAACTACTTAGTGAATTCAGACAACTGCAGAGGGAGAAGTCAACCTGGATGGAAGACCAGAAGAGGCTGGTAGATCTAGAAGATTCACCTTTGTGCATATCGAAATCTACTACTGTGTTGTGAAGAACATCTACTGTGCTGTGCCCTAGCATATGAATGAAGAAACCGATCTGTGCCCTGTAACTATGCGCATATGTTCACGTTAACTTTGTTCAATGTTCTTAATTTAAGTGTTCACTTTCCATTAAAATTAAAGTAATTCTGTTAATTGGGAGATCTTTATTGAACCTCGGCACGAAAGACCATTACACACGATTCAAATATTTATTTAGAAATAATTATCTATTATGATCCCCAGTGAAATATTTATGATATTGTGAAAGAAAGAAACGAATCGGGCCTGAAAGAAAATTTTTTGCAAGCCATCAGCCACGCTACCTTCGTACATCCGCACGTACTATCTCTGCGTTCACCACACTTCTCTGAAGCTTGACAAACTGGACGAAATTATTACATCTGAGATCTTGGTAAGTTTTGCTAATACTTAAAAACTAAATTGGAACTCGACAGTATATTTATTGTTTCGATTCATGCTATTAAAGCTATAAACTTTAGTGTAGCAATGCCTATTGTCGTTTCAACTACTCGAGCAAGCTTGCAACAAGAAATTTTCCGTAGAAGCGCCCTCCATGCTTTTAACTCTTAACCTTGACTGTGTCTCGACGTAAATGTTTGTCACATATCTCTGAATAATGTAAAATGCAATATATTAATTGAATTGGCGCTGGTTAGCTCCTAACGACTCTAATTATCTATTTACCTCGTGCTGGCAGGAAGGTTCAGCCATAGCATTTCGGCAAGTTTTACACAAATTTAACACTTCCATGACATAATACTTCCACTACAAAAGTTAACTTTTTGTCTACACATTTCAGGGTTGTGAAGGTGGCAGAAGCTGCTTCCCAGTTTTGTAGTCTGCAAGACATGGCTGTGCAGTTCACATTCGCTACGATCTATAGCGGCACAGAAGTTCATCATCCTTGGACGATGGAGAGGGCGAATGTCTAGTTCTGGTGAAATGGAAGAATGCATGCTGCTGGTGACGTAGAATAATGCATGGTGCTGGTTACGTGGAAAAATGATGCCGGTGACGTGTTAAAGCCTGTTTACACTAGGGGCAACGATATGCGCGGTGAGGCGCTTAGTGCAGCACCTCACCGCGCACAACCGTTCACACTTATTTTGTACGCGGTAGCTCGAGACCGCGCGCTTCGAAGATTAGATGCCAGTTAATAAGACGTCAGTGGAGATGGATATAACCGAATTTGATCTCTGGGCTATTGTTCTCGGGTGTGTTGCTGTTAAGAAAAGACGTAGACGTCGACTTATTTGGGTGAAAAATTAGTTGCAAAGAAGAGTTGCTGTAATTGTTTGCTTACACAATTACATTTTCAAAGAATCATCAGTAGCGAATGCATCAGACTTTCAAAATTATACTAGACTTCCAGTGGACTTGTTTGACAGTATATTAAAGAAAATAATGCCACTCATCCAGAAGCAGAATGATGGAATTGAGATGGAATTCATTTGCAATGGAATTCATATGCAATGGAATTCATTTCAAGATGGAATTTCACGCAGCTTTGTGTGAATTGAACCGCAGGCGATAGCGAAGAGGCGCTAACAATTACAAAATTCCTCGTACACTCAGAATAAATTGAATCGACCGAATATGTAACATCACTTGGGAAATTAATTACTCACCTTCTCTGTTACGTATTCGTCGCAGTTTAAGCTTTCAAATGCCAAGTAGAACTTATAATCGTCCAACTTGTTACAGTTCTCGTAGTAATGGCCCTCGCACTTGAGCGTTCCACACCTGCCGTACACGTCAATCTCGATGTATTTCTGCATCTCGGCTAAATACTTGTACCGTCCATTCAAGCCACCGCAGTTCCAGCCCATCAAGGCGATATTTTTCTTCTTTAATTTATGATAATCCTCTATTTCATCTAAATACTGATCCTTTGGCAGAGGAACAGCTCGACCGTACGGCACAGGTACATTTGAGTCCATTCGGTATGTCATTGACCAGTTGAAAAACCCGCTATAATGGATGAGGTTGCGGTCATTCGTCGAAATTAAAACGTTGTAGGGACTCTCATCACCAAACCACACCCAGAGTTGTCCAGGTGCTCTACGAACTTCTGCTGGGGGACCAGCTATAAGGTGTAAATGGAATAGTACAGCGTCGGCATCCATAATATCCTTATTTTTTGTTGTAACTCGGCAGTTACTTACAGAACAACTTTCAAAAGGATCGAATTTTATTGGAGATCCAATCTTAAAAAATCGTGGTCCAAGTTCCCAAGCGAACTTATCATAGTTCCAGAGGTGGATCGTGAAATTTCTATGTTGTTCGAAGCCAATTTTTTCATTCAAGAACATTCGCCGACCGAGGACTGACAAGCGACTGATCTCGGCTGGAGTAAGGTTCCTCCAGTTGTAGTCAGCATCGCTCATTTCTCTTGCAGCATCGACTTTAAATTCCGTTGTTGCATGAAACTGAAGTTCAGGCTTATGTAGATTATCCTTCCTTTTGGCTGCTTTTTCGTCATCAATATGAGATTCTCCAAGGAGCTGTGTATTACTTCCCGATCCATTTATTGGATAATCTCCAGCCACCAAAAATACGAGCCAAATGAGGAGCGATGCCGACCCTATAAAAGTGACGGGCTGCTTGCCGGTACATGGAGGCCGCACAAGATGTCCCAAAGCCGACCTCTTCAACTTTAAAATAAACCAGCGCATTGGTTAATAGATAATCGCAAAGAACGAGAAAATTAAAGTCTATGTTTTCCAAAGCGATTTAAATTGAAATAGAATGAAATTCGTAAAGAAAATACTGTGGTGATTTTTGGAAATCTGAAAATATGATACGTAAAAACGTCAATATTTACTTGGAAGACACCAAAGCAGTACAGCTCATGGTTAATTAACCCTATCCTAGATGAAATATTCGGTGCATACATTCAATCTAATACATGTCTTACCCAGTCAAATTTTGGAGTCAGCTTTCAGACGCTTAACGGTTGCAACTCTCGCCTTAGAGGTGGATAAGGCTTCAATCGGCTTCGTACCTTATTGTATTTGGCTGTTATTTAGGAGCCTTTTGTGGGAATCGATTGTCAGATGGGCCGAATCTTCATAATATAACCGAGAAACCCATGACCACCTCCTGGTCATGGAATGACGTGCAAACGTACGTTTGCTCATACGATGGATCAGGATGAGAAATGATCAAACCAATTCTTCGAGCTTGCGTGATAGTTAGATTGTAATTTTATTACGTATGCGACCAAAATTATTTTGACGACAAAAAGATGCCTTTATAAACCAGAGACAGCTAAGAACATGGAAACATGATTAAGGGGTGCAAGGGGAGAAACACACTTGATGACGAGTACGTGATAGCAAAAATACAATGCTCGTAGATCTATGAGGTAATTTCACATACATATAATAACATGCATAACTGATATGCAAACAGTTAATTAGTATAAACATCATCAGATGAACGTCCGGTTTTGCTGTCAGGGGCTACAAGTTTTATGAAAGGTACTGATCATCATGATTTTGGGACTGCACTGCTTTATGTTGTGATATCAGTGCATGGCCTGCTAACAGGCACTGTATAATGTTCCTTCTGTTATACAAACAAGGTCTACAAAATGTGAATAATTTCAGGTTTAAGTGATATTGTGGTGCGTACAATGACAGACTTTGCACAAGCACTTCGATACTTTTTAGAAAAAATTAAAACAATATTTATTCAATGCTTCAAACGACATCGATAACCAAACCAAGTCAATTTTTTACAGTACTTGTTTTATAGAGTTACTGTATTGTATTCGCATCGCAAAATTTGTTTCAGAATACGTTTAATGTTCGAATTTTATCCTTGTTTAGGGTAATGTAGTGAGCGGAACAGACGCTAGCGTTGCTGCCTGAAGTGCTCAGGTGTTTGGGTCGATTAGGTGTCGAACGACGCACGATGCTCATATCAATTGCTTAATCGTGCCATGCATGAGAAGTGTAGTATGTAACTTGGAATTATATGCCAGTTATAAAGGCTGAACATGTTAATTCTGAAAATTGTTAGAAACGAAAAAATTCTTAGATTACTGTGCGGTGTGCAACGCTCCATAAAGCGAGGTCGTTGGAAAACCCGACACTGGGTTGGCGGCATTCAACCGAACCGAACACACAGTTGAGCTTCCAAGATCTTGAAAGTAATGGAAATTTTGAAACTTGAGGTACATGTACGCATGGGCGTGCCATTTTAGCTGCTGCTTATGTTATAAGTTTTCTAATTCATCATTATAGCTTGATAGTTGGATCGAATTGTGGAACCGAAAATTGAGCATTGACAACATTCGACTGCGTAGAAGCGTATAGGTTCGTCGTGCATTTTTCACCACCGGGCTGTTGTTAACAAATTTACCATAGGTCTTTCCTTCAAGTATTTTTTAAGATGTGGTTGTACGGTGTGACTTTCGCCATCATTTCCTTGAGAATTTAGCAATTGTACGGTGCAAATTTTTGGCACTCGACAGTTATAGAAGATTTTAGCTTGAGGTATAAGATATTAGTTAATAAGTCATTTGACCTGCTTATGCTCGTATGCCTCGATGGTTCTAATCTTTAAGTCATCTTGCCAACTGGATCAATATTTAGAACGGAAGGCTGTGCATTTAGAGAAATTGTCTTGGTTAGGTCAGATATTAAGCAAATTTTTTCTTCGGATTCAGATACTTACTGCAGTATTATGTAGTATTATTAGGTTAGGTACTGGAATCAAGAAACGATATTAATTTGTTCTTTGTTTTTTGTTAACTGTAAGTTTTCAAACGGATTGATTCAGGAAAGTGCAATCAAAGGCAGAAACTTCAAAAGAACTTCAATTACAACCTGAATTTTGACGAAAGCTTTGGTTTTCACTTCTTTCTGTCATCGTTGGACGTAGACGAATTTTGAAGCTCTTGCAGGAGAAATTGCTTGATAGAAATTTAGGGTAGCAAAAGTTGTGTGTCATGATGCGGTTATCAATTCAACTGTTTATTTTACAAACAACGTGCTTCAGTCAGACGGATATGTGAATGGAATAGGTAGCCTTGACTTGCCTTACCTCGAATAATTAATATTCATGTAGCGATTGTATTTTTTCTTTGGAAAGCGATTTTTGCCATCACTTAAAAAACGTGTCAAAATGGCAACTAGTTGCAACCACAGTCTATGCTCCGAAATTGAGCCTCTGTTATATGCTTTCCTCTGGTCTTAAAACTAATAGAGTAGTACTAGGCTGCAAATATATAGCGTACAGATATTCAAATGCCCTCTCTCTTCCCCATAGTATGAGGGGAGGAAGGGAGGGGTAATTTTTTAACGCACTTTTCAGATTCGGCCATTTCTGCCCCGAAGGTATCAGATGCCAAATACGCGCGCCCCACGATCGCTCCAAGCTCGCTCAGTCCATGACCGCATTCTAATCAGAAACTTATTTCGCTCGTATAAATAGAGTAAAACGGACATAGAGCCGCTAATTCATGCGCTGGGCGAGCTAAATTCGTCTTCATTTCAGAAGCTAACCACCCTCAAAATTTTTATGGGGTTTGCTCGCATGCGTGCGGAAATGGAATGCAAGCGGGTCTCGCCTTGGATTGCATTAGCGCCAACAATTAATCATGATAATATGATTTGTCATTCCATCCCTGGAGATAGAGGAATTAGTTAACACATTTTAACCGCACCACGTTGAAATGGCTTGAACTAATCAAGTCCACGCATTAAAATTGACCCGTGTAGATTCACTAGGCTGTTGTTTGATAATGTTGTGGGAAGACATTGAGAACTGATAATTGTGAGAGGAATGTTTACTGCCGGTGTATTAGTTGATGAGGAGCGCAGCCGTGGGTAACAAAATTGACTCGGTAAACAGGCCCTGGGCCCAACGCCAACCATCAGCATGCAATATCTACACATAGCCTCAGATCAATGAGCTGTGGATAACTCCGGCTAACAGTAAATCCGCTTTGCACAACACAGCCACTGCTTCACAGCGCCGGAGCACAACTGGCCGGAGCGCAACAGGCCCTACCGCAACAGGCGGCACATGTTAGGTTAGGTTACGTTAGGAGTAGCTGTTGCGGTAGGGCCTGTTGCACCCCGGCCAGTTGTGCTCCGGCTTGTATGCGCTCCGGCCAGTGACTGAACGGCGCTGTTGTGGTGGGCGCTTTGTGTCAAAAGCCGTGAAGATACCCGGCTGCGTTACGCTCGGGAAGGTATATAAATCACACTGTGGACTAGGGTTATGCTGACCTCTAGCTATCCACCCAGTTGATGTGCCGTCAACTAATACCAATCTCAAGTAGAATGCTTGGTGATAGAGAATGTGAGAGAATGCATGATGTGAAGAATGTGAGAGAATGCATGATGTGAAGAATGTGAGATGCATGATGAGATGAATGCATGAAATACGATAAAAATAGATACCAGAGCCTTGAATCGGACAATTCCAAATAATCTTTATTTGATGGACAAAATATGTTTTAAGGCATTGAAATATTCTGCATCATGTATCATATACAATTATTTTCAGGCGTTTTTATGTTCAGCATCAGGTTTCAATTTGAAATTGCACGTATTCATTATTTGAGTTGTATTTGAAATAACACTTTTCGGTGCGACGTTTTAAAAAATTCTACTCTTTATTGCATATACCAATTACATAGACCTGAACAATGATATAATCTAATCGTAACTTGATCTAATTGTAATCAAGATTCAATGTAATCGTCAATATCTTTGATTATAACGGTTAATCATGCATCCAAAATCTACCGCAGACTTAATAATGTTCTAATACTCATCCGTGTCTTGAGTTATTTTTCAATTCGAGAGAGAATAAATCTGGGCAGTAAATTATTCTTTCCCACACTCTCTATAGTGCAACCTAACAGTAGATAGAAGCAAGCTACACCACTGTCCGTTGCCAGGTAAGAGTTACAACTGTCGGAGCAACCCTGACTTGTGGAGCACCAGGTGTTGACGCCAGAACAGTGGGTGCATAGGTGCTAATGCCGCAACTGTAGGAGCATAGGTGCTAATACCGCAACTGGGAGCATAGGTGCTAATGCCGCAACTGTGGGCGCATAGGTGCTAATACCGCAACTGGGAGCATAGGTGCTAATACCGCAACTGGGAGCATAGGTGCTAATACCGCAACTGTGGGCGCATAGGTGCTAATACCGCAACTGGGAGCATAGGTGCTAATACCGCAACTGGGAGCATAGGTGCTAAT